TTCAAAAATTTGATTATCCTCATACTGGTGATCGAATTGAAGATTTTTGTCGCCAACTTTTTGACCAATGGGAAATAATGATAATCTTTTAGTAGTTCAAAAAATAAATAGAAGCAGGATTGCTTAATATAAAAAAAAAAAATATTATTATTTTTTTTTAAAGTTACTAATAAAATAAAAATTTGGCCGCATATATATAAAAAAACATAATAAAATATTAAAAATATAATAAAATTTAAAAAATATAATAAAATTCCAAGATATCAGCCAATCAAAATTTAGTATTTGGCCACTTTTAAAAAAAGTCGTTGGTTTAAGGATTCTTGCACTGTAGTAAAAATTTTTAAAATAAGAGCTTTAAACTTTTATTATATTAAAGATTTCCAGTAAAATTAAAAATTTTTATAATAAAGTTTATAGAATATATTTTAAATAAAATATTGTATATATAAAATATAGTATACCTTATATTATTAAAAATTTTTAATTTTATTTAAAAAATTGTAAATACTTTTCAAAATTCCAGGCAAATTTGCCTGAAATACAGATTAAGAGATAGTTTTTAAACAATTTTTCAAGAACAACTAATTCAAACTAGCTAAAATTTTAATATTTTATAGCTTAATATTATATAGTATTAATTTTCAGTAAAAATTTTATTCAGTTTGAATTAGTAGTTGTAAAGAAAATTATAGCTGGAGTTAATATAAATATAACTATAAAAAAATAACCATAAGAATTAAACTATATATATTATTTGCTTGAATTTGATTGGCTAGTTTAGTATTAGATAGAGGAGAGAGTACTTTCTTAAAAGGTAAAAATTACCTAATAAATGTTTCTACTTTAAAGATATAAAGTATAATTTTATTTTAACAATAAATAATAATAATAATAATAATAATAATAGGTTTTTTTATTCAAAATAAACTAATAAATTAAAAAAAGTTATTTAATATTAAAAATATTTTGATAATAATATTAAATTTATTAACAAAATTAGAATATTATAATTGGATTTTAATAATATTAAGCTTGTTAAAATTTTCTTATTAAGATAAATTATTTGGTGATAAAATTATTTAAAACAAAATTAACATATAAAAATAATTAGTAACTATTTAAATTTGTTTATATAATATACGTTTTTATTAATATCAATATTGATAATAAAAAATAAATACAATAACACCAAAATATATTAAATTAAATAATAACCATCCCAAAATTCAATTTTAAATCTTTTTATAAATTTATAAAACTTTATATAAGACTATAAATAAAAAAAAAGTCTATTAAAATTAAATTAGATATTGAACATTCTAATAATTTCAAAGCTTTTTATAAATTTATAAAAAAAATTTTATATAAAAACAAAAAAAAGTTTATATAAAAATACATTATAATTAAGCTTGTTGTAACTTAGAAAAATATTCTTCAGCATTATCAATACAAGTGACACTTGATTGGAGCTTATCGATGGTTTCTTGATATTCATTATCTTCATTACTGTCATAGACAATTCCACCTCCTAATGTGAGTTATTATTGGTTTGCGAAATATCAGAACGTAAAAAAAAAAAAAAAAAAAATCAATTCCGAATCAACATATAACCTACCTGCTTGAAGATAGACAAATCCATCTTTGAAAACCATGGTACGAATCGCAATGCAAGTGTCTACAGAATTTGAGAAATCGAAATGACCTACAGCTCCAGCGTAAATTCCTCTTTTCTCTCTCTCAAGTTCTGAAATAAGCTCCATGGCTCTGACTTTAGGTGCTCCAGTAACAGTACCTGCTGGAAAGATTGATCTAAATGCATCGAATCTAAGAATTTTAAAAGTAAATTTTTAATATATGGAAAATTTCAAATTAAATGTGTCATATATAAATATAGTATAGTATAAACCTTGTTTTATCCGGGCGAAGTTTACCAGAAACTTGGCTTACAATATGCATAACATGGCTATAACGTTCAATGTGCATTAATGAATCAACTTTAACAGTTTGAGGTTGGCAAATACGATTAACATCATTTCGTCCAAGATCAACAAGCATAATATGTTCTGATCTTTCTTTAGGGTCATTAAGTAGTTCGTTAGCAAGCATTTCGTCCTCTAATAAAGTATATGAGAATTAGGAATAACCAAATGAAAAAAAAAAGCAAAATATATATATATCCATACCTTCTTTAGTTTTTCCACGTTTACGAGTACCAGCAATTGGGTGAGTGTATACGATGTCATCTTCGACTTTAACAAGGAGTTCGGGTGATGCACCAACAATTTGATAGTCATTTAAGTCAATATAAAATAAATATGGTGATGGATTTAATGTTCGTAAATGTCGATAAGCATTGAAAGGATGTATAGTTGTAGGACGCTTAAATCTTTGGGACGGAACTGCTTGAATAATGTCACCTTTTTTAATATGATCTTTCAACGTTGTGACAAATTCTTTATAACCATCCTTGCCAACATTAGAAACAGAAGTTTGATTCAAGATTATTTCTTTCTGAGATATATTAGGAGTAACCTCTTTTTTAAGCAAGTTCAAGACATGCTTTATTTTATCTGTAGCTTTTTGATATTGATAATCAGCAGATTCTAAGTCAGCTATATCGTTTCGATAATGTGAAACTACATTTATAACTTGATATAAATGATCAAAAATGATCAATGTGTCAACGAACAAAAAAACAGAATCTGGAAGGCCCAAATGATCATCTAATTCGCGTGCAGTTCGTGGTTCAAAATATTTTATACAATCATATGCGATATATCCTACAGCACCACCTATTCATTACGTTCATTATCAGAGTAATTAGAATTATTATAACTATTTGTATACATATATATTTTAGTAAAATGCATTTATAATACCTGTGAATAGAGGAAGTACAGGCACAGGAATATAATTGATAGATTTCAATTCTTCTTCGATAAAATTCAAAGGATCCCCTTCATTATCTTCTACTTTAAGAACCTTATATGGATCTAATTGGACACAAATGAAAGTAATATGTGTAAACAACATATCGCATAATGAATTTTATAATATGATAAAAAAGGGCAATATAAAGTTAATAATAGGTCAACTATATATATACCTGCACCAACAAAGGAATATCTCCCAATTCTTTCTCCTCCTGTTACAGACTCAAAAATAAAAGAAAATTTGCTTTGTTCTGTTATACGTAAATAAGCACCAACAGGTGTAAGTAAGTCTGCAGGAATCCTACAATAAATAGGGATTGTATTTCCCTTTTTCTCTGTCACAAGATCTTTAACTTCTTGAAGAGATGGTTTAAAATCGCACTATTACCAAGAAAATAGTAAATAATAATAATAATAATAATCCATTATATCAAGTAACTAATATAATTTATAAAAATTGACTTTGACAAAATATTATGCCTACCATATTTTAAAGCTTACATTCCCCGGTGGTTAATTACAACGCTAAGTTATTAAATTCGATAATCTTGTGTAATTTTGTCTAACCTGATAGTGATTTAAGCCGGCTATGGCAGCCGCGGCTAAGCCGACTTAGCCGGCTAAGCCAGCCAATGTAATATGATCGGTTGGCTAATGCGGCTAAAGATCACATGATTAGCCATGGCTAAGCCGGCCAATATAAAACTTTCGGCTGGCTAATGCAGCTGAGATAGCCACGGCTAAGCTGGCATAGCCGGCTAAGCCAGCTGAAACAATATGATCGGCTGGCTAATACGGCTGATAGCCACGGCTAAGTTGGCTTAATAATCATAAGCGAATTAACGTTAACTTATGCGGAGTTATAATATTAGAGTTACGGTTAAGTACTTTACTGTTCTTTTATTTTATACGTAGCTTCAAGATTTGATTAAAACTAAGATCTTTGAAATTTCTCCTACAGTTCAAGAAACTACGAAGTACTAATCTAAAACAACTGTGCTTACTATCAAAAGTTGAGTTTCTTATATTCCCGACGGCATAAAAAATATATTTAATATATTTTAATATATTTAAAGTTCTTATATACTTATGCAGTATAATAGTCA